TAGGATGTTTGGTAAATGGAAGGGTGTTATGGTTTCTGTCCTTATTACCATGGCAACCATGATAACTGTGTTAATTACATGTGGTTGTTGTTGTTTTCCATGCATTCGATCCCTCTGCAACAGGTTAATTACTACAGCTATTGAAGGCAGAGACAGGGATATGAATCCTAAACTAACGATGCCATTACTGGAGCAAGACAAGGGAGTTGATGAGTGTGAAAAAATCCCTGCTTACACAGAAACTGAGGTGTGATCTCTTTCGAGATCAAAAGGGGGAAATTGTTGGATATTAAGTTGTGTGAGACATTGCAACTCAAGCACCAGCACCGTTTTCTATGCACATATAAGGAATAGCATTGTAACTGAAACACCAGCATCGTTTTCTATGCACTTATAAGGAATACAACTTTCACTCAGATTAAAGCATGAGCACTGTTTTATATAAATGTACTAAATAAGGAATATAACCTTTACATTTTAGTAGAAGTAGGTGTGTGTGTTCACTCAATTATTAGCAATATGTGTGTTCATTTAATTACAGAATGTACTACTTTGGAATTAGGGAGTTGTGCTTGGGGGAATATCTTTGGAAAAGTATTGATAATTACCAGCTGCATCCTACAAGAATATCTTTGGGAGAGTACTGATAATTTCCAGCTGCATGGTGCAGGAATGTGCTAGAAGGAGGGAAGAATACTATATAACACACAGTTTTGGTGATATGACTTCAGATCATCTGCCCTGCTGCTTGCTGTATGATCTCCAGATATATCTGCAAAAATAATAAAGGTAATAGTGCACTTTGATATTTGGTGTTGTGACTGAATATTCTTTCCGCTATCTGGACTCGAGAAGAAGTATGAGACTTCACAGGTGCAGTTGAGGTTAAAATGTTTTGACAGCCTGGGGGAAATACTGATACCTAAATATTTAATATTGCCAGTGGGAGGGGGGAGTCTTGAGCTGCAGAATTCCAGGTATCTTCAGAGAGTGGCAATATGGTGGATTTATTCCAGTTTATTGTGTAGTTAGAAATCCTGGGGAATGTATTAATAATGGAGAAATTTTCTCGTACTGAATTGTCGAGGTCCTGTAGATATAGTAGTAAATCATCTGCACAGAGGCAAATTTTATGTTGTAAGTTAGTATCTTGTATTTCTTTGATGCTATTATTCTGATGTATTGCTTGCCACATCCGTCTGGATGTGGCAAGGCCTGCAGCACATCTCAGACTACAGGACCACCACCAGCATCATCAGCTCCACAGACAGCCTGCCAGATGACCTCAACACCTTCTACACCCGCTTTGAGACCTCCAGGCACAGCACAGAGAGGGGGCACACACACACCTGATGTTCTCACCACCATCTTCAACCTCTCCCTCAGCCAGAGCATCGTTCCCACCTGCTTTAAGACCACAACCATCGTCCCCCTTCCCAAGAAGAGCCCGGTCACCTGCCTGAACGACTACAGGTCAGTGGCACTCACCCCAATCATTATGAAGTGTTTTGAGAGAGTGGTGCTGGCCCA